TTTCATGAAATTGTACAGAGCTTGTGGTAGTGATTATTGTACGGGGGGCATAGTCCCGGAGTTGAAGGGTCCCTAAAACAAAATCAAGACTTGCGCATGGGGCACAGTCCCAGGGTTAAAGGGTCCCTAAGAGGAATGAAGACTTACGCGTGAGGCACAGTCCGGTCCCTAAAACGAAATGAAGACTTACACGTGGGGCACGGTCCTAGGGCTAAAGGGCCCTAAAAGGTTTTGACAGTAAATTAAAATTTTGGTAGTTAGTGAAAATTAAAGGATCCTAGTAAGAGCCCTACAGGTTTGATTAATAAGCAAGGAGCATCTCTTTTGAATCATAACTTTCTATTTGAAGTTAGTTTCATGTTCTGATTTAAGTTGCTAAGAGTTCATTGTTGTTAAATGTTTATTGTTCTTTATTTGCATTTGTCTTGCATTTTAGGTTGTTATAGAATTTAGAATAGTGTTAATTCTCTACCAAGTTGTGGTAGCTCACCCCTATATTTTTCCCCTCCCAGATTCTGCCAAGCTGGAGGCTAGAGAGTTGATTTCATGCTTGGGACTCGATGCTTCCTACTCACATACTTGTTTGACTCACATGCCTAGAAGTAGAGGAATCTTGAATAATTTGCTATGTGGTATATCTTAATTCCTTGTTTGTAATAGTTAGATGTAAGATTGAAAGTCCTGTTAACATTATGTGTAAAGTTAGTAAGTTTGACTGTATATACATTAGAACATAACACTGGATTTGCTATACTTATGAGTTGGAAATGAATATCTGTTAGTTCCAGAATTTTGAGTATAGTATTAAGATATGTTGATTATGGAATTTCAGGATTTTACACAGGTTCCTAATGCTTCCAAAAGTTCAAAATTATATAGGCATGTTGCTAAATTTTGCACGAATTTCTTTTTGAAAATGTATTTTCAGGAATTTGAACTACGAACTTTTTTTTTTTTTTCCTAGTTGGGTACTCACACACACATGCCTCCACAGAGGCTCGAACCCCTGACCTCTCTTTGAGAACTAGGGGTTTGGTACCGCTAGACCACTGGCCTGTTGGTTGAACTATGAACTTGTTGGAGCAATATGCATATTTTAGTGTTGGAGAATGATTATATGAGTGATTTAAGCCTTAAATCACTCTTTGACAGAATGTTAACATTGCTATACTTGAGCAACAAGCAAAAAATTATACAAAAAGTCAAATACAAATATGGCAACAACTTATTGCTCAAGTATAAAAACGTTAACATTCTGTCAAACAGTGATTTAAGGCTTAAATCACTCATATAATCATTCTCCAACATTTAGCAACTAAAATAATCTTAGTTTTCTTAAATAACTAAACCCCTCTCATCACACCTCGGGTTTCGAGTCTCAAAATCCGGGGTGTGACATACTTAGATTAGGTTACCAGGTCATGCAGGGTTCAATTGATCCACTCCCAGTTTGGTCAATTGAACTTGGGATAGTAGGGGCCGATCATTGCTTCGATCAATCCAACTCCCTTTATATTCGCTTTATTTGCTCATATGCAGTGCAAATTATGTAGGCAACTCAAATATGAGCATTATATGAATGCATAGAGAAAACCTAATTGGTGAATTAAACATTTCAAGAGGTGAAATTAACTTTATACCCTCGTCATGATCTTCAAATCCTCGCCTCGAATGTAAACTGACCATAAGATGCCTTTTAGCCCTATCAAATTAGCCAACTTTCAAAACTAAACTTAATTGAAATAAAAAATAGAGACTTCGACATTTGCGAGGAAGTTTGCCAATAATAAGTCATATTGACCTAACATGAATAAGATTCTTAGAGTATCAACCTCCCAAGCATATAGCCCTATGTGTACTATATGTGATGCATCTATGTCGAAATAACCCTTAGGATTTTATATCGAGTTTTCAAATCAAAAAACAAAGTTAGACTTTACACACACACACACAAATATAGATATATATATATATATATATATATATATATATATATATGCCTTCAATTGATTGAGAGTCGCACTTTATTGATCAAAATTCTCTCACACAACTTACAATGTATCTAAAACCTTACATAAATCAATATGTTAGTATAAAAAATTTTAGACAAGAGGCTTTAATGTAACTACCAGTTCTTTAGTGATATAGATATGGGCATATAGATGAAAAATCAAGATCTCTTCTATCAATAGAAATATGATAGGTTCTTTTAGTTTGTTTTCTTCTTCCTCCTTCAGGTAAGGATAAGATTGGAATTATGGATGGTTCCTTGCCATCTATCTTGGGAAAAGGTTTCATAATATCTGTTGTACAGTATAGTATGAGTTGTCACACGTGTACAATTAGATTACATTGTATACTAAGGTTTCTCGGCTTTTTCTCAACAATCTCTTCTCTACGATCTCTCCTCGGTGATCTCTGTTCTCGTCTCGGCAACCTCTCTTGGTTCTCTCCTCTGCAATCTCTCTTGGGTTCATCCCGGCCTGATCTTGGTTTTCTCATCTCAGATCCCTCTCGCTCCTATCTCTCTCTTGTTCGGCAGCCCCCCTATAGATAACAAGGACTCGCATCTGCTTGGATCAATCACCAACACCAACTGAGAGGCTCGAACTACCTTCAATGGTCTCCAGCCATAGAAGTATTCTTACGGGCTCGTAGAAAACTGTCCTATCTTCAGTCAACTAAACCCACCATTGATCAAAAGATTATTGAGGTTTGGGAGAAAGAAGATGCTAAGATTATGACTTGCTTATGGAATAGCTTGGAACCTGAGATCTTCAACAACGTGTCATTCCTAGAATCTGCCAAAGACATCTGGGAAAATCTCAAGGACATGTATTCTTCACATAATAATATTTCTCGTAGTTATCAGTTGTACATGACATAGTTAATCTCAAGGGAGATCGTTCTGTTAAATATTATTAATCAGAACTAAAGGGTATGTGCGAAGAATTGAATGTCTACCAACCATTGACTGTAGACATATAACAACGAAAACAACACAGGGAGGAGTTTCGGGTGGCAAAATTCTTATCTAGGCTTTTTTTTTTTTATAAGTAAAGATGTATTAAAAAGCTTTCAAAAGGGGAATGCATCCCTCAAAACAACACAAGACCTAATAGGGCCTCTAAACTCACAAACCCGAACTCACTCCAATCAATTCACAAATTTTGTCTGGCAAGGAGATACCACAGCCAGTGAGACGTTTGCTCAAGTTCGAAGAGCATCAATTCATGCCCCTATGATTGAGAAGTAAAACCACTCTGCTCTTGTTGTCCCTGTTGAGCAACATGATACTTCCCGTTGAGGACGAGGAGGCACAGGTCCTTCCAACGCAGGCCGTGGCACTCGTGGCAGCAGAGGGGGTCACGACAGCAAGAAGTGTACCCATTGTTGTAGAAACAATCACTTTGTTGGGCACTTCATGGCAAGCCAGCTCGGGCTAATCAGGCTTCAGTACAAGAGGAGCCTATTACCACTCCTGCAAATGAATAGGTAGTTCTCTCCAAATCTAAGTATGATTCTCTGGTAAGGTGTGAGCGTGCAAATCAGCCTTCTTCCTCCACCACTACTATTGTTACTTCAGGTAATACCTGTCTCCATGCTTCATCTTCTTCACCTTGGATCATTGATTCGGGGGCATCAGATCACGTGACAGGTAACCCATCTCTTCTTTCTGATATTTCTCATATTTTCTCACCATCGGTTGTTACTATAGCGAATGATGCCAAATCACCAGTTCATGGAATTGGCACCTTCCGCACTTCGAATCTCACTTTTTCATCAGTCTGATATCTCCCTCAATTTTCATTTAATTTATTATCAGCTCATACTATACTGTACAACACTCTACATCTATATTGTTCTTTTCTGTTTTTCGTCACCCTAATTCCTCTACATAGTTTATGTTACTCACATTACAAACTTTTTGAATTGTTAAGGAACATTCTTTCGTGCTCATCATAAATTTCAAAAGCTAGGAACGGGGAGAACAATGAGCAGCTTAGTAGTAGTATAAAAAGTACTACTCATTTCGTGGTTGTTCATTTATGTGCGGTAAGCTTCCCTCTCATTCTGGGTATAATTCATTTGTCATTTTTATTGATTGTGTTTCTCATCTTACTTGGGTCTATTTACTGCAACAAAAGAGTGAAGTTGGGCTTGCATGCGCTAGTTTCTCTCCAAATACTACTTTGAGACTCTTGGATCTGACATTAAAGTTTAAAGGCATGTTGTTAGTCATTCTGCAAAGGCAGGATAAGTTTCATATTTTATAAAATCATTCCACTCAGAAGTAAAAAATAAATAAATATAATTAGCTATCAGTATTGTGCTACAACCCTGCCCAAAATTGGCATGTACAAAATGGTCGCTTAAAGTCACATGGCAGATCCACCAACATCAAACCAATTAACAAGACAAAAAAATGCATATAAAAGCTTCCGTTCAGGTATTTTATGTGAACTAATACAAATTTATCAGCTGGCAACCCCATTATAGGTGAACTCCATATGATGATGGTCCAAATAGAATTCCTAATTGGGACATACACAACAGAACTATAAAAAGGTGAAGGGATCTTTTGCGACATTATTCGGGTCCTGAAAGTTAGTAATACCTATTCATCCTGTGCTTGCAATATATTCCTTCTACACAAGTAGAAAGAAAAAGGTGGTGAGAAGACATGTTTATAAACAACATGGTGGAAGTAACCAAATACAACTTCAGGAATTTATACATTTCAATCACATTTTCATGACTTAACCTAACATGGAGAAAAACTCCTGCGTGGAGAGCAAGAATGACATGAGATGCTTCACGAACTGGAAACTTAAAACAACCACCATGAATCATAAAATACCAACAAGATCAGTTTTATCACTGAATAACAACTTTGATCAGTGTGCAATAAAAAGGTATGTGCTTAAAACAACAGCAGCAGTTTATTTCACAAATGGTAGAAATAAATATAATATGGTAGAAAAAAAGTAAACTGCCACCTGTGTTCGAAGAACTTCCTTGTATGTTGCAATTTCCCTCAGAGCAATTGCAAATTTCTTCATATCAGGGCCTGAGAAGACGAGTTTAGAGAGAGAGGGGGGGGGGGGGGGGGTGAGAGAGAGAAACTGAAAATATTGAGGTATTTATAATTGTGTTAAGAGTTCAGAAAAATAGTACAATACCTAAGATGCAAATTAAATGGGATGATATGACCAAGCGATCCTAAGAAAGTTATATAAATTTGGATAAATTTCAATTCAAACTGAAACATGGTTTGAAGTATCAAGCCAAGCCCAAAAACCTGCCACTAAACTCTCAACCTAAATAGATAATTAGAACACATACAAAGATATTCGCATATATCAGAACATAATAGACAACCAGACCAAAGCCAACTCTGTGCAAAAAGAAGTCACTTGCTCCTGACTGTTTCTTATTCAATAATACATCTGGCTGAATTGGTAAAAAGATTTCCTCAATAAATTTAGAAGCCATGATTTGATGTGCAAAATAATGTTCAGTTGTAGCAGTGAGTCCATACTTTAAAATAGGCCTTGAAGCCCCCATTATATCCAACTTAACATCACAAGTGCATGGCCATAAATTACATAATGGCATAATGGTGTAAGCAATTATAATCCCCACCCTAACAAGAAAGGGGAGAAAGAGGCATAACAAACCACCTTCCTACCCATAACATGAAAACTCAAACAGAACATACCTCCAAAAGAAACACAAATAGGATCGCAAAAACCTCCTCCAAAAGTTTCTACGGCACTCGCAAATGCAACGTCCTTATCATATCCTTCTCCAAGACCTTCTCTGTAAGTTAAAAATGAAAAATGAAAATCATATCAGTTTTATTTGGGTAAGATAATATAACTTTTACATATTCTAATAGATTCAAGCAATTTCCAATAAGAATATAAATATAAAAACACTCTCAGTCACTACTCTCACCTACTCTTTTAATGCATAATATAAACTTCAGTAAGGAGATGAGATGGGAGTCGCTTACCAGGTGGAGAGAGAGAGAGAGAGAAAAGGGGGGGGGGGGGGGGGGGGGTGTTGTCTGGGAGGAGGAATTCTCATTTTTTTTCATATAATCAATGTTGAAGACACCTAGATGTTAAAGCTAATATCGAGTTTCAAACCTAATTGTACAGAATCTACCTTGAGAGTATGGTTGGCTTTCGTCCTTTTTTCACAGATAGGGTAATAACTACCAGTAGATAATACCAAAAGTAAAAATAAAATGTACAAAACATAAATATATATATATATACCACAAGAGAAAAACATGACTCAACCATCAAACAAATAAGGGCTTCCTGAGTATGAAATTCCAAAAATTAATACCCCAGAACACTCTGCTTAAGAGCAAAAGAAATTGCCAGGCAAATCCAAAATCAAGAGAACAAATACATACCCTCTACATGCCAACTCTGGACAATGACACACCCAAAACTCAGTTACACGAGAGACTGGAAGGTCAGGTAGTTCACAAAACCTATATCTCTCTTATGGATAACATAATTACTATTCTCTCATATAGGAGCTTGAAGATGATCCATAAAGATTTGAAAATCACTAATACACAAGTATTTACACAAAGGCCAGAAATGTCCCAAAAGGGACACAATTGATGCCAACAAATATCCGTAAAGACTTTACTACCTCATTCTACAAGCCAATCATCTATCTCACGAGTGCTATTTATAGAGCATAGGGCACGTGCCTCGCAAGTGCTATTCCATGTGTCGCAATGAGGTTGCAACATGTGTCCCTCTCTTAGATATATTCTGGGTTTGGGTGCGGATATCCCTTCCACTTGGGACCCCGTGAGTAAATTTAAGTGACACTCTAACCAACCCAAATGAGCCCTTTTTTTCAATCCACTATGCATTGACAAACCCTCCTTCCCATGTCAGTTATGAAATGGTATGCCCAGATACCACATCATAGCCGCTATAGGCCATAGCGCTCCATGCTTATGGCTCCTGGCCTGTACTTAAGCTCAGATAGTTTCCCAGAATTAGGTTAAGTGGTACCGCAGTACAACAATTTAACCATTTAACTAACTCTCAAAAGAGGGACCGTCACGTCTTACGACACTGGGACGTGTTGCGAGACACATCCACTTTCCGGGAGCAGGCCCTCTCAGCTCCTAGGCTATATGCTTGGGTTTCATGAAGAAACCTTTCTGCTGTTGGGGGTCATCACAACCCAGGGACATCCAAAGGATGAGTTTCTTTAGACACGCCCGCTTTATGAGAACCATCCTCGGTTATAGATTTGCACCTGGTTTTGCGGAGAAACCTGCTTACCTACTGCGAGTAGCCCACATGACCATTGGTGTTGCCGCCTTTAAACTCCTACTCCTTTAGTAATCCTCCCTGAACACTACTATATCCTCACGAGTCCTTGTCACTCGAGAGGTTGCCTGTTCCAGGGCCACAATTGCTTGCAAGCACAGCCCATAACCCATACTTGTTTTGTCCTGCTCTCGCAAGCCTTAGCTACTGGCAGGAACACCCTCTTTACAGGGACATTTATTTTGGGGCATCTGAAAATGGAAAGAGGGACTCTTATTGTGCAATGGAGGTAGTAACATCCAACATAAGAACATATTAAACATTTACTAAAGTTAAAAATGAACAAAACATGAAAATGCCATCAATTAATCTTCATAATGTTGAAATCCAATGGAATATTATATAATTTAAAACCAGAGCGATCAAATATTTTTAAACATGAAGAACAAAAATAAAGAAATTATGGATGATGGGATCATTCTCTTCAAAAGCAAGTGTAAAGTTGAGTGATAATACTTTCAAAAAAAAAATTGAAGTGATAGTATGAGAAAAGATGTAAATGTAGACTTACGTGTACTTTCGACATCCTTTATAAAACTTTAGACTCTTTTCCCTCAATGTATCTCCACTTTCTTCCATATATTGGACCTATTCCATCAAATAAGGTAACATTAACATTTTCAGCAAAATTTCTACACACACACATATATACAAACGATGCATATATTTGAAGCATGTACATCACATAATATATGAGTCACAAAAGTTGTATGTTATACATATTTAATATGAGAAGAAACTTTGAAGAACATTGAAAGTATGCATATATATATGTGTGTGTGTGTGTGTGTTCCTGTTTGTGCATAAAACATATGTATTTTCAGTTAATCAAGCCCTTTATCATCTAAAAAGCACAAAAGGATATATGCTATAATAGAAAGGAAAACTGAAATTTCCCTTCCATCTAATGTAATTTGATAGTGCTTCCACTTAAAATAAATAATGGTCTTCTCATTTATTTTATTCAAACTCTATGGGGTTATATATTGAGAAAATTTCACATCGCTTTCCAAATTTTCTCCACAAGGACCGAGCTCAAAATAAATGTAGACCTGTGGCAAACGAATAAGAAAAAATAATACAAATTTTCCAAACTTTAATTAAGCTAGACAAGCATTCGCCCCACCATTCCAAGTCATCCACAAGAATGATGCATCTTTACCGCACTCTAGTTAGGCCATACTTTCCGGTAAAATTATATACGAACATGTCAATCCTCACTACCATACATCTGCAACACCTTGAATACTGATAATGCCATTGCTTATTCGTGGACCAGTTATTAGGTTTCTTTGCACTGATTATAAGCCATTTTTCCCTTCCGTGCCACTTGCACATCTCAACATCCAAATTCCAACCACAATTTATGATTTTTTTTTTCAGTACATAAAATTAATCAAAACACAATTTTAAGAATCACATTGAATTTGGTCACATGATATAATTTTGATAAACATCAAATGAAAAAGGAATGTAAATTTGTCAAGTTGGTTTCAACAACATTGAATGGCATTGAAATAATACCAGAAAAATATTACTCAGCTCAACAACTCAAGAAAACCTTTTCCCAACTACTTAATGTCTCGTATATAAATCTTATTTTTATATTCCGTAATATTTAAAGCCATAGCCTCAGCCAAACCATATGGTACCATATTTTTTCTTACTAACACTGCCTATGTTAATTTTGGTCTTCCCTTCCCCTAAGATTACCCTCAATGTGGATCATGTCACTCTTCCTAACTAGTACTTAATGGTCTTCTTTGCTCATGTCCAAACCATATAAATGGATTTTCTCTTCTTTTTTTTGTCCAATTAATGTTACTTCAACCATCTCACAAATGCTGGAATCATTTATTATTTACTTGATTAGTTTTGATCACAAAATCTAGCGCAGAAAATTTTGATGAAATATTTTCTTATATATTTATTTATTAAACATATTATTTTCACAAGATAAATGTTTTATGATAAGAAATTTACCCCACTCAATTTGGTATGCAATTACTTCTTGACTGGAGAGGACAGTCTCCATTTAGCATGTTCAAAGCAAAAGGTTACGCTTTTCCTTTCTTGGCAAGCCATAAAAGAAATCCATGCCTGTAGACAACAGGACCTCCAGGAAGCTTGATTTGATTCAAAATAAATGTTTTATGTGACCCAATAGAGATAATCAAGAAGTCAATACTAAACGATTAATTAGTGATTGGAATGATGGTTTTTACATGTCCAATGTCCTAATTAAGCATAGAAGGGTATACATGTAATTTAACACTTAAGGCTTTTATTTATTCTTTACTTAGAGTGCAACTATTTTTATTTAGTGGAGTTAAAAATAGTTTATGGACTTATTAATTTGAGGTTGACTAGTCCTTTAAGAAGTCCATTAGAAGCCAAGTACTGAATAGGCCCATCAAGATCCCATTTCTAGCCTAAAAGAACAGTTGGATAAGACTAAAGAGAGAGATTCCTAGAGGGACAAGGAGAGAGAGAGAGAGGGGCAGCCACATTAATACACCCACTCCAAGTGGAAGATCCACACAGGGCCAGTGGGGGTAACTGTCCCCACTGGACTTTGATATAATTACAATTTTATATGGAAGATTTTTGATAATTATATAATTGCCCCCGTGATATTTTGCAAAATTTTCAAAGAGACCCAACAATCTACTCAAAATTCGAAAATAGCAATAACATTTTTCTTACACTGGCCCCACAACACAAGATTCTAAAAAAAATTTCTAAAGTTAAACTGACCATTGCTTTAATTTATAAATATTTATACATATCCCTGTGAGAAATAATGTATTACACATCATTAATAGTAGAAATATAAAAAGAAGAGAAATGAGAGAATTGCGTAAAGGCTTGAATGAGATGAATTACTCATTCACAGCTCTAGTATTTATAGATAAAAAGAGCACATGCTCATATTACAAGAAAGGAAACTAAATCAAATCTAAATCAAATCACAACCTATCCTAAAGCATATTCTATGGCATATTCTATAACATAGTCAAATCTCTGCTATTATAGTAAGTGATTCCATAAATCGTGGTATCATATATGCTAACACTCCCCCTTAAGTTGGTGTGTGGATATCTGAAACGCCCAACTTGGACAATGCATTCTCAAACACAATCTTGCTAACGCCCTTTGTAAGAATGTCTGCAAGCTGCTAAGAGCTTGTGACAAATGGAGTGCAAATTTGACCAGAGATGATCTTCTCTCGAATGAAATGACGATTCACCTCTATATGAGTAGTCCTGTCATGCTGGACGGGATTTGCTGCTATGCTAGTGGCAGACTTGTTGTCGTAGTAGAGTGAGAATGGAAGTGACACAAGAAAGCACAAGTCCATCATCAAGGTTTTTAGCCATAGCAACTCACATACCCCAAGAGCCATAGCCCTATACTCTGCCTCTGCACTAGATCGAGAGACAACATACTGCTTCTTACTGCGTCAAGTAACCAAGTCACCACCAATAGTGGTATAATAACCCGAAGTTGACCTCCTATCTAAAATTGATCCTGCATAATCAACATCTGTCCAAACCTCAACACGTAAGTGACCATGATTGGCAAACAAAATACCACAGCTTGGACACCCTTTTAAGTAGCGAAGGATCCGAATAGCTGCATCAAGGTGAGGGGCACGAGGAGAGTGCATTTATTGACTCAAGACACTCACGGCATAAGCTATGTCAGGTCGAGTCATGGATTAATAGATGAGCTTCCCCACAAGTCGTTGATACTGACCAACATCTGACAACAACTCCCCCTCAGAATCAGCCAGCCGATGATTCTGCTCAATCAGAGTATCAGCAAGATGAGCGCCAAGCTGACCAGAAGCAGAAAGCAAGTCAAGAACATACTTGCGTTGAGAGATGAAAATGCCAGCCTTGGAGCGAGCCACCTCAATGCCCGAAGTACCATAGGGGACCAAGATCCTTAATCTCAAACTGACGGCCAAGATAGCTCTTAACCTCAACAATTTCTGTAGTATCATCGCCGGTAAGAACAATATCATCGATATACGCATGAAAGCAACTGTCCTACCGCCTGAATGACATAAAAACAAGGTATGATCAGCTGCACTTTGATAGAAACCAAACTTGAGCATGGCAGTGCCAAAGCGATCAGACCAAGCTCGAGGAGACTGCTTGAGGCCATACAAAGAACGACGAAGACGACATACCATACCAGAATGAGCAGGAGAACGAAAGCCCGAAGGAGGAACCATGCACACCTCCTCCTGCAATCACCATTGAGTAAGGCATGCTTGACATATAACTGAAATAGAGGCCAAGATCGAATCGCAGCAACAGAAAATAATACATGAATGGTATTCATCTTGGCAACAGGGGCAAAAGTCCCATGATAATCTATGCCATAAGTCTAAGCATAACCCTTGGCAACCAACCGGGCCTTGTAACGAGCAACTGACCCATCTGGATTATGCTTAACTGTAAACACCCAACGACAACCCACAGCCTTTCGTCCAATAGGAAGCTGAACCATGTCTCGAGTCTGATTTTTCTCAAGTGCTTGTAGTTCTTCTTTCATAGCATCACGCCATTGAGGTTGTGCTAGTGCATATGCAACACTAGAAGGAAGAGGAACCAAGGCAACAGAAACAAGAAAACTCCAATAGGAGGGTGAGAGAGCATAATCAGAAACAAAATTAGAAATAGGGTATGTATAAGAACGTTTACCCTTTCGAAGAACAATGGGGCGATCATCAAGCGAAACAATAGCTTGAGAAGGCGGAGCTAGTGCTTAAGGAACAGGGCAGTCGATCATGGGAGTAAAAGCGTGTACATGTTGTCTCCGACTATAAACCTGTGAAAAAGGAACAATTCCCCGTACTGGAGGGGTATCAAAAGGAGGAATTATAGAAGACGAAAAAGGTAATGGTAGAAGAGTTGAAGACAGAAAAAGGTGATCGTCCATTATATTCAATGGGAACCATTCACTTTGAGAACCAACTGAACCACTATAGTATAGTGTATACTCAAAGAAAGAAACATCCATGGATATAAACCGCCGACGACTGGGAAGATGGTAACACCTATAACCTTTTTGAGAGTGAGAATAGCCCAAAAACACACTTCAAAGCCTTGGGGTCAAGCTTTGTACGAGTCTGCCCCAACTGCTGAACAAAGCACACACACCGACTCGCGAAGGAATAAAAAAAAGAGATGAATTGGGATGTAAGATTGAGAGTGGGGCTGCAAAGTTAAGAACCCTAAAAGGAGTCCTATTAATGGTGTAAGCAGCTGTAAGAACTGCATCACCCCAAATGACTAGGGAACATTCATGCCAATGCAGATTGCTCTGGCTAAGTCAATGATGTGGCGATTCTTTCTCTCAGAACGACCATTCTGTTAAGGAGTTTTAACATTAGCCATCTGATGCCCAATCCGAAATTATGTACATAACCGTTGTACCTCCCCATAAGTGTACTCCATACCCTGGTCAGATCTAAAAATTTTAATGGTACGACCATATTGAGTCTGAATCTTTGTTATAAAATTTTTAAAAATGGTGCATACCTCATTTTTGGTTTTCATAAGATAAACCCATGT